GCCCCCCTAAGGAACCTGATGATCAGGTCATGCTTCCCCAGCGGCTTCCCTTCTACCCGTGGTTAGCAGCAATTGCAGCGACATAGACTTTGAGGGTGGAGGGAGACAGCCCTCGCTCCAACCGTTGCTGCAAAAAGGACAGCATGACTCTGATCGGGCATCTTCGGGTGTCTTCTCGGTGAGAAGAACACCACTCAACGAACAGGTTTCCACTTCAAAGCGTATCGTGTCTCGTAGACAGTGCTCTCGCTGAAGTGATGGTGTCAACTACCTCTTGGGGTAGGTCATCTAGAACCTCCGCGTCCCGTCCAGGGACCAGACATGAAGTTTCCAGAGGTCTGGACGTGGGTGCCAAAGGGTGTCCCGTCTCTGAGTCAGTAGATCCTTCCTCAGAGGAATCGGCCAAGGAGGGGCTGTCACGAGGAGCATTAGTTCCGGGAACCAGGTCTGGGTGGGCCAATAGGGCGCTGCTCCTCGTCCTCCCTGACCTTGCATAGTGTCTGTGCAAGAAGGCTCACTGGGGGAAACGCATACTTGCGAAGGCCCTGCGGCCAGCTGTGTGCCAGTGTATCCGAGCCGAGTGTTCCCTCGGTCAGGGAGTAGAACAACTGGCAGTGAGAGGTTTCTGGAGAGGCAAACAGGTCTACCTGAGTGGCTCCGAAACGTCTCCAAATCAGCTGGACCGTCTGGGAATGGAGTTGCCATTCTTCCGGGAGCGCAGCTCGAGACAGCTCGTCGGCTGCCCAGTTCAGCAGCCTCAGGAATGTGAACAGCACAAAGCGACCTCAGATGCTTCCGGAGGTGGCGGGCGAGTTGCGACATGTGATGGGAGCGCAGACCACCTTGTCGGTTGTTGTACGCAACTGTCGCAGTGTTGTCCGTGCGGACTAGTACATGCTTGCCTCGTAAGCACCCTTTGAGATGGATCAAGGCAAGGTGCACTGCCAGCAACTCGAGGCAGTTGATGTGCCAATGCAGTTGGGGCCCTGTCCAAACCCCTGACACTGCAAGCCCGTTGTACGTGGCCCCCCAGCCGGTGGTTGAGGCATCCAACCATGGTCTGTGGTGCAGAAGGGTCGACACATGAAGTACTCGTCCTTCAGGTCGATCGCTGCAAACCAAGCTCGGGGACGGATGCACCCTAAGATGTGTTCATACGTCAACATCTTGAATGGTAAACGGTGAAGGACCCGGTTCAAGACATGCAGGTCCAAGATTGGTCATAACCCACCGCCTTTCTTGGGTACAATGAAGTAGGGGCTGTAAAACCATTCATATCGGCTGGAGGGACTGGCTCTATCGCATTCTTCACCAGTAGGACTGTGATCTCTGCACCCAAGACAGGGGCATCTGCTGCTTCACTGAAGTAAAGTGGATGCCCCTGAACTTGGGAGGGCGCCGGGCGAACTGAATCGCATAGCCGAGCCTGACGGTTCAAAGAAGCCATCGAGACGGGCTGGGTAGCGCTAGCCAGGCTCCCAGATGCCACGCAAGGGATCTACAGGTGTACGAGCAGTGGGGCAGCGAGGACGAACGCAGGGACCCGGCCCGGGCGTCTCGTAGCCAGTCCGAGGCGGGGTCTGAGTGTGTGTAACACTGACCTGCGTTCGAGCAGAGGGTGCGTGGGTAGTGCGTTGGTTCGTCCTCCCGATCCGCCCACTGCTGCTCACTGGCGAGAGAGGAGGGTGAGTGTGATACGACACTGGATCGTCCACAACCCCCCGTCCCCTCTGGGGACCCAGAGATAGAGGAAATTGTTCTTTTGTCGATTATTTGTCGGGAAAAAACTAAAGATTCTCCACCCGGACCCCCTCCGGGGGAGGGAGTGGTGAATTCACCATCTCCCGAAGAGCAGGTCCCTCACCCTGCTGGGCAAAGTTCTCCACTGTGTCGCCAAAAAGGCCGGTCTGGGACGCGGGGGCGTTCAAGAATCATGTCTTGTCCATCTCGCGCATGTAAGCCAGACACAGCCAGAAAAGAGGAAATTGTTTGTTTGGTTATAGTTCAATAAGAATACTACACACTTATGCTTAAAGTAAGAGCAGACCCTTATTCAAATAAACTCTGGGTCTCTTGAACTCAGAGAGAAGAGAATAAATCACACTGACACAAATAAACAGATATGCATATACTTTCCAACCAGTTTAAACATTCTGGGAGTCTATTTATGCTGTGTGCATGCATGTATTTGTTTGTAGCAGCCAGTCTTACAAGGACAACTTTGTCAGCTTACCATGGAAACATTGTCTGGTAACATTTTAACCATGTATTGGAGGAATCCATTAAGTTTTCGGATGCTATCTTGCATTTGAGTTACACAAGAATAAGAAATACTAAGAATTTCTCACTTAATCGCTTAATCGCTTACTCACTTAAAGAGAACCAATCTACATTAAAATCAACTGCTGGCAAATATATTGGAGATTTCTCTGAAATAGATAAATAAGACTTTCTGGAATTCTCCAAAATAAGGTAAAAATGTGAACTAATTGGAGGTGGTAAAGTGTTTTTTCCTTGAGAGTGTGTTAATTTGTATTTGTATGGTTAATGAGTTATATGCCGCGTTTACACTGTCAGCTGTTTAAATTTTTTTCATGCATATCAGGGATATCTTCATGTGCAATTTTTTTGCCATTGCTGCTTCATAACAGATTGGTTCAGTCTGGTCTGAAATCTTCACTTGATGTTCAGGTCATGTTAACAAGTGCATAAGAATTGAATGAATCATTAATTATGTTTTCATCCGAGTTGCAAATTAAATGTATCACAATATCATAAAAAAATACATGAAATAAGCGTTTCCATCTAAATGTGTTCAAGAGAACAAAATATAAATTTCCAGAGTAATAATCTTTTTTTTTTATTTATAATTTTATTTTGAAATAAGAATAATTAAATGAGAATCTAGTGTTGTCACTGAGGATAATAACTACAAAACCTCAAAAAAACTAAATGCATTAAAAAACATTCAAATGCATTACAGTAATTTAATGTGTTCAAGAAAACATTTTCAGAGAAACTGAAGTAAAATTATATATATTTTTGTATTTTTGAATATTTATTTGCATATTGGTGTTTCCATCCATTCATTTTCATGCACAATCCCAAAATTTGCATGAAAACGTGTTGATGAAAACTCTGCTATTGGGAATTAAAGTACATGTACTGCACAAAATTGAGGGTGAAAACGTGCTATTCGACTGCACTGCACAGTTTGCACAAATATTAGTGCAGCGATAATCGGATTCCACCCACTGATAGCACAGCACGGAGCAGTTTTAATGACGCAGTGCAGACTCACCGTGGCACTGGACCTCAGGATTGCCCCAGAACAGTTCCCTGCACTCCTCACATGTCGTCCCTCCAAAACCAGGCTTACAGAAACACTCACCGGTCAGCTGAGACAAGCAGAAACACACAAAAAATAGTGTTTCATTCATGATTAAGTTGATTTGTGATTTAAAGGTGACATATTTTACCCCTTTTTACAATATGTAATATAAGTCTCTGGTGTCCCCAGAATGTGTCTGTGAAGTTTCAGCTCAAAATACTCCAGATCATTTATTATATAATTTTGCCTTATAAATGCCTATTTTTAACCTAACTCTCGCAAAGTATAAAAGTGGAGTTAATGCAGCAGAACAATTCATATATTTCAATTAAAACCTTTATAATATGTAAAAAAAAAAAAGCCAGTTGTGGCTTGATGTCTTTTATCGTTTCTTTTTTCATGACCAAAATAACATATTCACAAAGAGTTCATTCAGTTGTCAGACAGATGTTACAACACATTACAAGAACAGAACAATAAAAACACAACTTTCAAATATTTATTTTAATTATATTCATGCTTCTCACAGTATTAGAACCTAAAGTAACAGGTTCTGACAACATGCCAGGTGTGCACACTAACCACCCCCCCAACCCACATGCTGAAAGATGGGTAAAACATATACTGTATGCTATAATTCTTCAATTCGCTTAACTGATTCATTGCCAATGCTGTTTCAGGGCAATACTTGAAAATCACCCCTAGGTGTCACCATAGAGGCAGGTGTACTTGTAATTATAGCACACAAACCTTATGGGCTATTTAATGATGCATTTATGGTGGGTTTCTAAATAGATTCCAACCCCATTTATTATCATTGTAAGGAAAATATTCACTAGGACATTCTGCAAAACATCTCCTCCATGAAAAAAGAAAGTCATAAGGATTTGGAATGTCATGGGGTTGAGTAAATGAGGAAATGTTGAAACTATTCCTTTAAGGTTTGATAGCATCTCATATTTACAAATCCAGTGTGTGCTAGACATTGGACTATTAAGTTCCAGATCAAATTTACACACAATTCAGATCACACACATATCACACATTGACATTTACAGTCAGACTTTAGTCTGAGCTTCTCACCATTGCTCAATTCATCACTCACAATATATAACTCAGAATACACAGAAAAAATGGGCCACACAGATAGTGTAATGAGCAAAACAGTGGCCTAAGGGGGTCTGGAACATCTGACACGGGCCTTCATCCTCCCTCTCTCCACACAGAGGTCTGATTGTTTATCAGACAGTGAATGTAAGTGTGGAAAGAAACCCACCCAACAACATAGAAAGATTATGATCAAATCAGATGTTTTTAGGTTAAATATGTAATGTATAAGAGATGGAAAAAATAATTGAAAAATTAAAAAAATAATAATATTACTATTAAATACTATTTTTATAATTTATGCATTGTGAAAATAATTGAATGACAATCAGATCTGCTTACCCCAAATTTGTAGTTACTGCAATGCTTTTTACTTCTGTGTTTTTCCTCATTCTCAATGGTGATTCTAGTTATTGTAATACAATCATTTGTAATAATTTATAATAATACAATTTAGCTTATAAAATTTACTCACAATGCAGAATGTCTCTGGTTTATCCAGTCCGCAGGTGGAGGAGGCCGTAAGCCGGTGTGATCGGATGATTGTGTCAGCGTGTGCAAAGCAATAGCTATGGGAATCACATTGATTGTATTGATTAGATTGCATCCTAATATTTTTTGAACATGAGTGGCATAACAAGTGTTATGAATCTCAAATGATAACCAGAGACATTAAAAAAGAACAATGAAAGTTAATTTATAGATGTCACACTTATTGCTCCAGTGAATGTTTCTCATAGTGATTTTTCCCCCCATATTTTTCAATTTTACATATAGCAAGCAAGCAAATAATAAATAAATAAATAAGATGCAAAGAAAGATTTAACAAAAAGGTACAATATAATTCATTAAACAAACATTGGCCTGTGTCAACATGCCCAAATAGCAACTTACAGAACCAATGCTAGAGAAAATAAACATTTGTGTATTTGATTTTTGATTTAAAATCTTATAGTTACTGTTATACAACCCTTGTGACAACTAGCCCCTTAGTTATGCAACTCATACATTATTTCTGTTTCATTTTAATGTGTAAACTATTACATCACTGAAACATTGTGTGAACTGTGCACATGGTTAATCATTTTGGCTTAAGGTTACTGTAGAGTCTGTTTCTAATTATTGAAATGAATATCACATGAGGACATTTATTGACCAGATGGAGAGCTGAATGTGGCATGCAAGAAACCAGATGGGATGCACACAAACCTCTAGACACCAAACAAACCTGACACTATGTAACACCAAAATGAAATAGCGCTTCCACGTGCGTCATTTTTGAGCGGCGCATGCGCAAAGCCAACCTCATACGTCATTCCCCCAGAACTGCTTCTGTTTACAACAGTGAGTGCAAGCTAGATTCAAGTGATTATTACGTTTTGAATATGGATATTTTTCTTACAAAAATGCATCGATTCGCTACAGAAGGCCTTTGTTTACCCCCTGGAGCCGTGTGAGACACTTTTCTTATGGCTGGGCGATTTTTATTTAAGTTCTTTTGGACAGAAGCAATGCAACATCCACTGAGTGGCATTAAACAGCTTGGAAGATCAAAGACAATTTTTTATATAATTCGACTGGATTCATCTGAAAGAAGAAAGTCATATACACCTAGGATGCCTCGGGGGTAAAACGCAGCCTAATTTTCATTTTTGGGTGAACTAACCCTTTAAACAACACTGGTTTATGCATGTTGTGCTGCTACAAACCCCGTATCATGCCAAACACTCTGGTGTGTCTCACATCCTTGTGAGCTGCCTTGCAAGACAGTATTTTGGGGGCAGCTCTTTTTAGAATAAACGTGATTTTATGGCGCAAGCGCGAACAGCATTTTTGGGCATCATATTGCAGGCACGGTGCAAATCAACGTTTTAGCTTAGCATAGTTATTACATTAAAACGTTTATGCTTTCCGCATACTCTTCTGATTCTTTCGCAACAACAACTAAAAAAACCTGATTCTTAAATCTGTGGTTCTATGTGGCGTGTGAATAATGCGAAACATTAATTATTCTCCGCTAGTTCTCTGGTGATGTTAACAGGATAAAACTGTAAGTAAATAAAACTATTTTTAAAAATATTAAAGATTAGACGTTCTGTTTCTTAGACAATAAAACCAATATTTTGTCACTTTTTCTACCCAGAAATTCATCATTACCATTTCATATTGTCATACCACCAAAGCCAAATGCTACGTACTAAATTTCTGAACTTTATGGTGAAAGAAAACACTTATAATTTTAATTACTTAAACAAAAAACAATAAAAATACACTCTTTAACTTAAAGTGAAAGGATAACTGAAAGTGAAAGGATTTTTAAAATAGCATATATATATATATATATATATATATATATATATATATACATACATGTAACAACGACAAGAAAGAGTTGATCTGTGAGGCGAGCAATCACGTTTATTTTCTAAAACCTAAATAAAACTGAACACCTCAAAATTACAAAAAGAAAACAAAAAAACAATATCCTTCAAAAAGGTCTCTTCAGTATAATGGATAAATAAAATAATGTTAAGTAAAATTAAAAAGCCTAAGCCTTCTTGCAGTGGATGTGCTGGTTTTGACCTCATTGCCGGCTGCAGTCATGTCCTCATCTCATATATAAAACACCTGTGATTCACAAATACTTGCTAAGGAACTCGCATTCACATAAAGTACCCTTGTTGACAAGTTTGGGTGAGTAAGGGCAAAACGCACAAGATGCAGTACTTTCCTGTAATAAGCAGTATCACAGAAATAAACTGCTGCAGAAAAATCTAGGTCCAAGCAAAATGTAATGTGTAACTGCAACACTCATTTCAAATGTAGTGGAGTAAAGAGTACAGATACTCATTCAATAATGTAGTGAAGTAAAGAGTAAAAGTTGCTAATATCTTTGATACTCAACTACAAAGTATCCATAAAGAAATTTACCCCATGAACCGTTTGGTACGAAAACACGTACCGTTACACCCCTAATGGACATACCCTTGACCCCTCGATTTTGACTGAAGGAGTGGATCTACCATATCCTTCATAATAAAATTATTTCATTATTTCATTATTATAAATATGAAATAATCCTGCGTTATTCCTTATTTTTACTCTCTAAAAATAGACAGGCATAGTGTGTGTGTGTGTGTGTGTGTGTAATGAACCATGCTGAATGCTGATATGATTCTCGCCGGAGCCAGGCCACCTTGAACAGAAGATAAGTTTTCTCTGTGTGTCGGCATCTTTTCCTCATTATAAATATGAAATAATCCTGCGTTATTCCTTATTTTTACTCTCTAAAAATAGACAGGCATAGTGTGTGTGTGTGTGTGTGTGTGTGTGTAATGAACCATGCTGAATGCTGATATGATTCTCGCCAGAGCCAGGCCACCTTGAACAGAAGATAAGTTTTCTCTGTGTGTCGGCATCTTTTCCTCAGTAAGTGGAGAAGCTCGTCATCGGATGCCCCCCTGATCAGGAATAGGTCTCTGGAGATACCTGTTTTGTCTGACTCCTGATCTCTGTAGCCTAAATAATCACTTAAGAGATATGTATTGACGTAATTAGTGACCTCTGTTAGAGTATAATTATTGGTGTTTTTGACATGTATGCAGAGCGGCCTACGAACTCCATCCGAGTATCGAAGCTGGCTTCTGCTTATGAAACTGCAAACTATTTTCTTCAGTAACATTTTCTTTAATTGATCGCATCTCTGACTCATGGTCTTCATTCATCATATCTGGTCCTTGGGTTTTAACTGTAAATTCCCCTACAGTTAATGGTGGAGAATGCGGGCAATCGTTCTTCGGTGACATCCCTGATCAATCAACGAAAGAAAGGTAGGAAAGAAAGATTTGATCTTTTAAAATTATTCTTGGTTAAGGACTGTCTGTGGTGGAGGGAGTGTGAGAGAAGGGAGAGCGATACTCACTCAGACTTGAATGAGGAACACCAGACTTTGTGTGAATTTGTTTTGGGTAAACTGGTGTCTAGGTTGAGGTACACCTGTAACGTTAAGTTACTCTGTGTGTGTGGAAAGGTGTGCGGATGCACACCTATAGGTCTTAGAAGTAGACTTGGATTTGAGAGATGTGCAAAACGCATTCTCTATTCTGTGGCACTGAGAGCCGTAGAGGCCAGATAGTGCAGTCTGTGTTAAGGTATATAAAATACAGAGAGAATGTAAGATGTTAGAAGGGGGGTTCTAGTCGTAAATTGCTCAACCAACTCTCTATTCCTTCCGTCTCAGACAGGGGTGCCCTGAGTTTAGCGATCAGGTCAGGTCAGTTGGTTAGGGAAAAGAGTAACCAAAAATAGTGTTAAAATAATAATAGTTGAAAAATAAATACTCATATCCATATATATAAGATACGGCAATGATTGATTGATCTGGGATGCATCAGGAACAACCCTGAAAAAGCTAAAATTTTCTTTTCATGACCCTAATTGGATTGGACCAGTATATGGAAATTCTGGAATATACTGTACATCAAGCGTTAGTTCTGGCAGGTCACGTTAGTCAAGCTCGCATCAGCTGACTCTCAGCTGATCCCCATTTACCTATGGGAATACAACACCTATCTAAGCATTCATATATAAGGTCCCTCAGTATTATCAGCAGTTTTTGCATTGCTCAATAGCTAATTACCCTCCTCCATCCCCAACTCCTCCTCTGTCAGTCAGGATTCAGCCTTCTGATTCTCCTTTGAATCAGACTAATTCTAAAACATGTACATAAAATTATTGAACTTTGACAGTATCTGCAGTACATTTATGTTGGTTCTGTTCTGTTTACCCTGGGGGGTTATTGCTGCTCTCCCTGCTCTCATCCATGCTAGGCTGCATGGATGTGCAGGGAGTTCTTGCCCAGAACAGAACCATACCGCCAATCCAAACTGTATGCTAATTGTCAATCATATTTGACGATAGTAGTCCTGACAGAATTTGCAGTTTCATCACGCAGAAGCCAAGTGCTCTTGGTAAGATTACTGCCTCAATCTCTTGCTGCTATCTTCTCTTTTGGTTTTTGTTTTGTGATAGAATATGGCTGACAAATTAGGTAACTTGCTTAGTCCTGATAGAAATAATGAAACACAAGAGAGCAAATGCTGTAAACAGCCTGGCTCTGAAGCTCTCACCTTAAAGATATTATTTGAATTCATTAAAAGAATGGTCAGCCTGCGCTTTGATTCTGATTGGAAAGTTAAAACAAAAACTTGATTAGCTGCAAACAAAGAAAGAACCAGAAACAAGATACAAATTTCTAAATGTTTGTGCCTATTTTCAGATGTGTAAAGTGGATATTTGTTCAAAATAATCCCAGAAGTAACTGAGTGATGATTTAATCTGATTCTTTGTTTAAATGACAAAGAATTATATCATACATCTGTTCCAGTCCAAACAGCTGTTTTTATCTCATCCCCACACCATGACTCTGGCTTAAGCTATAAAAATAACAGAGACATGTTCTGATTGAAAATTTGTAATTTCTATGCTTACTGATGTTTGGGCAAAAGAGTAATTTTACTGTCGGATTGCAAATATTTTGCCACTCAGCATCATAGCCAAATGCCAATTTCCA